GGGGCTGGTCGGAGGGGTGCGGGCTGCGATGGTCAAGAACGGAGGTGTACTGGGATGCCCAGGCAGGGCAAGGCGCACCCCCAGCCGGGGGCGGAGGCCCCGGCCAGACGTCGCCGCGCTCTCACCTCGCAGAAACGCAGAGCCCGCCACCTGAGAGGCCAGGCTCCTGCCTGGACTCCGGCCCTGAAGCCGAGCCCGCCACCGCCCTCACGCGGGAAACCGCCAAGGACCCAGCTGCCCGGGAAGCGACGCGGAAGCCGCGGCCGGAGGAAGCGCGGGGCGTGCGGCCCCGCCCCTCCGGGCCTCGGGAGCCAATGGGAGCCCAGGGCCGCCTCGCGCATGCCCGGACCCCCGCCTCGCGTGTCGCGTCGCGCCCGTGTAGTGGCCGCGTCACGAGCCAGCCCCGCTACCACCGGAGTGACCCGGGGCGAGTTTCTCATTACAAAGGCCCCGACTGTTGGCCTGTAAGAGGGTTTGGCGAAGATTCGAGAAAATCAGGCTAGGGGCGTTGGCATGCCCAAGCGTGGGACTTCGGTCTAGTTCCCTACCTGTGAAATGGACACGTCCTGGCACGTGCCAGGGATCCACGCGGCGCTGGCAGGGGCCTGTACTGTAGCGCCCCCCTGGCTGTGGTCAGGAGACCGGGTCCTGGCCCGAACTAATTCTGGACAATCCCTGCTCTGGGCCTCAGTTTCCTCATCTGTAAAATGAGGAGGTTGAACTCTACGACCCCCAAGGACTATCCCCACTCTCAAATGATTATTAATATACGTCTATGTCAGAAAGCCAGGACAGACACTCTGTTTTTCCAGGGAGGAGTCACATGAGCCCTTGCTATCTTACACAACAGCCTGGGAGACCTTGAGGTGTTCCCAGGCTGGGAGGAGACTTGGGGCCCCAGAGACGCAGGTGTGAAACCACCTCCCCTCAGGGCCATGTCACCAACACGTCCTGGTAATGCAACATGTGTGCATCTGAGATGTGGAACTCAGGGAAAAAAATAAGTCCATGGGGCACCTTCTGGGACCAGAGGAACCAGAAGTTGTCCCAAGTGACAGCAGTGGGCTTGGTGATCAGGAATAGAGGGCATCGGATTCACTTTGTCCTGGTTCCCTGTGATTGGAAAGCAGCTCCAGCTTCTGGCCCAGCCCAACCTTCTTCAGTATGTGAACCAGCTCTGCCTGCCCCCGTATGAGCCACACTGCCCCACAGCTGAGCCCATGACATCACATTTGCCTTGCTGATATGACCTAAGGACTTGAGGAAGCTCAGATGTGGGCTGCAGGGAAGGGTGTCCAGTGGGGGCAGGCATCTCCTTCCTGGTTCTCAGCCCTGGGACCCTCAGACCAGGACACACAGTACGTCCATGGCCTCTCTTCCTTCCCAGCTGAAGTGAAGCGGGAACAGAGGAGTGCAGTGTTGTTTTGAATGCTTACTGGATGTGGGGCCTGTGCTAGGTCAGGGGATGCAGACTGAGGTGAGACATGGCCCTGCCCTCAGGAAGTGTCTGTTACGGTTTAATTGGGGAGTGGAGGAAGAGGGGAGAGAGAAAGAAGCCCAGGAGAACAGCACATTTAAAACTACAGCACTTTGGGAGGCTGAGGCCGGAGGATCGCCTGAGGCCAGGTGTTCAAGACCACTCTGGGCAATATACTGAGATCACATCTGTTAAAAACCCAAAAATTAGCCAGGTGTGGTGGCACACATCTGTGGTCCCAGCCATTCAGGAGGCTGAGGTGGGAGGATGGCTGGAGCCCAGGAGTTCGAGATTATGGTGAGCTCTGATAGTGCCATCCTGCCACTGTACTCCAGCCTGGGTGACAGCGAGACCCAGTCTCCAAAATAATGAAAAATAAAACCATAGAAGATGACAGCATTGCTTTAAGAACTATGAAATGCCCCAGCTGGGCGTGGTGGCTCACGCCTGTAATCCAAGCACTTTGGAAGCCAAGGCGGGCAGATCACTTGAAGTTGGGAGTTCAAGACCAGCCTGACCAACATGGTGAAACCCTGTCTTTTTTTTTTTTTTTTTTTTTTAAAAAAAAGAACTATGAAATGCTACATGCAGGAAAAAGAGGGTCCTCAGTCCCTGCTCCCCTGCTGTGTGTGGGGCACTGGGCCATGCCCTTTCCCGTGTCATTCTCATGCGTCTTCAGAATGGAAATAAGTATTAGCAGTTGCCATTTACGTGCCAGCCACTTTTTAAAGTGCTTGAATCCTTATAACTCACTAAGAAGGGAGTATCATCTCTGTTTTATGAACGAGAAAACAGGACTGGAAATATTAAATAATAAGACTGATGCCTGGCAGTCTGTGTGGTGTTGGTAAGGAGGCTAGAACGTGGGGCTAGCTGAGGAGGGGCACAGGGAGAGAGTCCGGGAGGATGGCGGGGAAGGAAAGGCATTCCAGGTAGTGGGAGCTGCATAAGCATGGTTAGGACCCCAGGAAAGACCCCTGCTGTATCAGAGCACAGCAGGTGGGTGGCACCCTAGGGGAGGCCTTGAACCCCAGGATGACAGATATGGGGCAGGTGTATCAGGCAGTAAGAACATATTGGAAGGGAGCAGCAGTGGCTCAGGCCAGTTGTACTGGCACTTGAGGCGAGGCTATGCGTTCGAGGCCAACTTGGGCAACATAAGAACCTCTCATTCATTAAAAACAAAAAACAAAAAACATATTGGAGGTTGTGATCTTGAGATTGACAAGATGATGCTATGTGTGGGTGGGCTTCCCTACAGGAAGGCCCTAGAGAAGTAGAAATGAGGGTCTTTCTTGAACTAGGGTGAAACTGTGAGATTAGAAAAGAGAATGAGGCCCATTCTGAAGTGAGGGAGGAGGAGGCCTCCAGCCTTTAGAGCCAAAAGGCCTAGACAGCAATTAGCCCGACTGCTGTCCTACTTTGGCAAACGATAGTAGATCCCAAGGCCCACAGAAGGGGTTTCTAGACATCACTCAGGGGGATAATATAACTGCCCACTGGGTTCACCTTACCCTCCGCCTAGACAGAGCCAATTTCTCTAGACAAGGGAATTGTAATAAGAAGAGTTTAATTCATGCAGAGCTGGCTGCAGGAGAGACAGAAGTTTTATTATTACTCAGATCGGTCTCCCTGAGAATTCCAGGATCGGGGTTGTTAAGGATAATTTGGTGGGTAGGGGGCCAGTGAGTCGGGAGCGCTGATTGCTTGGGTCTTGGGTGAAATCACAGGGAGTTGAAGCTGTCCTCCTGTGCTGACTCAGGTCTTGGGTGGGGGCCACAAGACCAGATGAGCCAGTTTATGGATCTGAGTGGTGCCAGCTGATCCATCCAGTGCAGGGTCTGCAAAATATCTCAAGAACTGATCTTAGGTTTTACAATAGTGATGTTATCCCTAGGAGCAATTGGGGGAGGTTCAGAATCTTGCGGTCTCTGGTGCATGACTCCTAAACCATAATTTCTAATCTTGTGGCTAATGTTAGTCCTACAAAGGCAGTCTAGTCCCCAGGCAGGAACAGAATTGGTTTTGGGAAAGGGCTGTTATCATCTTTGTTTCCAAGCAAACCATAAACTGAGTTCCTCCCAAAGTTAGTTCAGCCTATGGCCGGGAGCAAACAAGCACAGCTTGGAGGTTAGAAGCAACATGGAGTCAGTTAGGTCATATCTCTTTCACTGTAATAATTGTATCAGTTATAGTTTTTTGTTTGTTCGTTTATTTGTTTTTTCCTGAGAGATTCTCACTCTGTTGCCCAGGCTGGAGTACAGTGGTGCGATCTTGACTCACTGCCACCTCCGCCTCCTGGGTTCAAGAGATTCTTCTGCCTCAGCCTCCCAAGTAGCTGGGACTACAGGCACCCACCACCACGCCTGGTTAATTTTTAAATTTTTGGTAGAGACGGGGTTTCACTATGTTGGTCAGGCTCATCTCGAACTCCTGACCTCAGGCAATCTGCCCGCCTCAGCCTCCCAAAGTGCTGGGATTACAGGCGTGAGCCACCTCGCCTGGCTGTATCAGTTATAGTTTTTGCAAAGGCGGTTTCAGGAACAGGAAGCAGAACCAGGACTGCAGCCCAAGCCACCATGAAAGGCCAGTCATTGGGGATGGTCTTTTAGGATGATCTTTGGGGCATGGCCCAAGGAGCCCCAGGCAGCTCTAGAGGCAGGAGGTGGGACACGCGGTCCTGTCTCCAGAACCTGTCCGCCCAAGACGAAGCAGCAGGGGTGGCTGGATCCTGCCTTGGCCTCAGTGAGAGGAGAACGGTGAGCAGGACTGGGCCTGGGCCATCTCCCACAGGAGACTAGGAGCTGCAGGGAGATCTGGAGGGGAGCGTGCAGGTGTCACTGGGCCTTTCTGTTCTCTGGGGCCCTTTGGCGATGGGAAGAGGGAACTGGAGCCCCAGGGCTGCTGCTGATGCTGCCTATTGACATTTCCATTCATTCAATCACTCATGATTTACTGAGAGCCCACCCTGTGCCACCCACTGTGAACAAAACACCCAGAGATCCCTTCCCAGACAGACAAGTTCCTCCCATCATGTACTGGGGTGATAAGTGTGATGGATAAAGAGAGGAAGAGCCAGCGATGCCTCTGGCCGGAGAGACCAAGCAGACCTCACCAAGGTTGCGACATCTGAACACCAGCTGAAGGGGTGTGAGGGCAAGAGTGTCCAGGAAGAGGGAGGAGCCAGTCCACAGGCCTGGAGGCAGAAGGCTGATTGAAGAAGAGTCCGGAGGTTCGGGCGGCTGTAGCAGAGAGAGAAGAGGGCGGGTGGCAGGACATGAGGTCAGAGGAGAAGGTGCGGCACCCGTGGCTCACAGAGCCTCAAAAGGATTTTGGTTTTGACTCCGAGCAGAACGGGCCATTGTAGAGCAACATGCACTTTAAATAAGCAAAACCCCCATCTTTCCCCTGAGAAGGAAGAGGCGGAGGAAAGCTGTGTTTCTGACTCACACAGGGAAGTCGTAAACAACCCTGGAGAGAACAGCTGGGCCTGGTGAGTCACTCACTCCTGGAAGTGGCTCCTCCCCACCCTGCCTTCGGGCTGGGCCTACTCCCCCCCCACCCCGTGGCCACGCTCCCTCCCTCTGCACCGGCCTATCTCTGTGGGGTGGGGGCGGCCATGCACCTCGGTGGAGATGGATGGGAGTGGGGCTGGGCTGGCTGGGGAGGCAGGGGTTTTGCTTCTTGCTAAGGCAGCCCTGGAGGGGCCTGACCATGGGGCAGGGACCCAGTTGCCATCCCCAGAGCCAGGATCATTGGCTGGGCTGGGGGATCAGGGCCCCTGTGGTCCCAGCACACCTGGCCCGTGAGACTACTCTGCATGACTCCTCCAGGTGGCCAGGATCACCAGAGCTGGCTCGCTCCCCTCTGCCAGTTGCTCAAGGTCCGGGCACCAGGCCACTTTTCACCCTCCCGCCAGGGTTAAACATTAGTGGGAGGTTATCAGCGTGGGCCAGGGAGGGAGAGGGGGGAATTCAACTCTGTCTCCTCTTCTGGAGCTGCCAGTCCCTGCAGGCCCAGACAATGCCGGTGGAGGAGTTTGTGGCTGGCTGGATCTCTGGTGAGACATTTTTCTTCCTTCTGTCACATTGCACCCAATGGTAGGTCACTCCCTGGGGAAGAGGGGTGACATAGGAGAAGCTGAAACCAAATTCTGAGTTCCAGCCTGGAGGGAGGATCGCTTGAGCCTAGGAGTTTGAGACCAGTCTGGGCAACATAGGGAGGCTCCGTCTGTACAAAAAATAAATAAATTAGCTGGGTGTGGTGACACACACCTGTAGTTTCAGCTACTCAGGAGTTCAAGGCTGCAGTGAGCTATGACCATACCACTGCACTCCAGCCTGGGTGAGACCCTGACACACACACACACACACACACACACACACACACACACACACAAAGGGGGCAGGCCATGGTGATTCACACCTGTAATCCCAGCACTTTGGGAGGCTGAGGCAGGAGGATCACTTGGGGCCAGGAGTTTGAGATCAGCCTAGGCAACATACAGAGACCCTGTCTCTATAAGAAATAAGAAAAAAATTAGCCAGGCTTGGTGGCACATGCCTGTGGTCCCAACTACTCCAGAGGCTGAGATAGGAGGATCACTGGGCCCTCGAGGTTGAAGCTGCAATAAGCCATGATCACGCCACTGCACTCCAGCCTGGGTGACAGAGCAAGACCCTGTCTCAAAAAAAAAAGTCTGGGTTCCCTGGAGCACCCCAGAGCCAGCTGTCCCCCAGTCCTCCGGGGAGCGGCCGATGGGGAGAAGAGAGGAAGGCACAGGTGGGAGGGTGCCTGCCTCTGCCTGCCTCGGCTGCACTGCCTGACACCTGCAGAGGGCCGGACAGCCAGGTGAGCACCCCATGCCTCTCGCCCTTCTCTCCAGGCCCACCCTGTGGGGCTCACAAAGGAAGTTCACCTTTGACCTCACCTGCTGTCCTGGGTTCCCTCTGGGCCTCTGCCCCACCTGGCTGTGGGCCGCAGTCCCGGGCCCCGAGGCCTGTTGTGCGTGGTCCCAGCCCAGCTTCTGGGTGGCATTCCTCTTAGAAGAAAAAGAGGGGTGTTCTGAACCTGTCTGCTGGGGAACCAGCCTCTACTGTGGAGGGCAGGAGTGGGAGTGGGCAGGTGGAGGGACGGGGGAAGCTCCCTGGCTGGTGCCCAGCCATGACTCCCATCACGGCCCTGCAGCTCTTTGCAGCTGGGGGGCAGCAGGGCCTCCTCTGGATCCCAGTGACAACATTATGAGTTGAAGAAAGAAAGGGGTACAGCTCTCAGGGAGGCAGGACCCTGGGCGATTCGCCCAGAGTCCCCGGGTCCATATGCAGTGGGATACCCGGGTACGGGCTCCAGCGAGGACACGTGTGTCTTTGGCTGGTCTTCCCTTCTGGGTATGCATCCTCAGGTGGGGCCTGGAGTCTCACTCCCTTGTCCCAGTGCCTTCCTGGCCCAGTGCCTGGTGTGGAGGGGGTGTCGGGGGCAGCTGGAGTTTCTGGAGCTTGGCAGGAAGGTGGCTGCATGTGTCTGAGATGGCCCTGTTCTCCTTCCTCCTGCCTGAGCCCCGCTTTCCTCTTGGCACAGACTTGCTTCCTGAGCCTGGCACGAGGGCCCTCACTCATAGCACTTTCTTCTCATCACAGGAGCTGTGGGCTTGGTCCTGGGACACCCCTTTGACACTGTAAAGGTGAGTTTAGGAGAAGCACCAGAGGAATGAAAGAGTTCACTTAACCCAAATGTCAGGGTGCCCTGAGGCCTGGTTAATCTTGCCCTTCCTGGCTCTCCTGCCGGCTGCCATCCCGCTTGAGAGGGCAGAGGGAAAAGCTGGCCCGCCTGCCATCGCGCCACCCCACCTGCCCTGTCCTCCCATCCAGGTGCGGCTGCAGACCCAGACCACATACCGGGGCATCGCCGACTGCATGGTCAGGATTTACCGCCACGAGTCTGTGAGTGGCCCGCCCCTTTGGGGTCCTTCCCCTTTGGGGGAGGCATCTGGGGCCGTTGGTACCAGCTGCCCTCTCCTCTCCAGCAGGGTTCTGCCCCAGGAGGAGAGAAGACCAAGTCTGGGACCCTTGGGGGGCCTAGGTGGTAGCTTGGCACCTCAACAGTGCAGCCTCAGCCTCAGACTGTCCCCACCTGTCCCCGCCTCCCTGTGGCAGGACTTGGGAGCAGTTTCCAGCCAAAAGCGGCCATGCCAGGGCTGGAGAGGACAAAGGGGAGGCCCCACGGTGCCTACTCCAGTGCCAATGTGTCTCTTTGCAGCTCCTGGGCTTCTTCAAGGGAATGAGCTTCCCCATTGCCAGCATAGCCGTGGTCAACTCTGTCCTGTTTGGGGTCTATAGCAACGCCCTGCTCCTGCTCACGGCCACCTCCCACCAGGAGCGGCGGGCCCAGCCTCCCAGCTATATGCACATCTTCCTAGCGGGCTGCACCGGGGGGTTCCTGCAGGTGAGAGGGCAGCGTGTGGGCACACAGGAGTCACGGGGATGGTCACCCACCCTGCTCTGGCGACCCACAGCTATGGAGGCACAGGCCTCCTGGAGGGGAACATGAGGACTGCGCTGTAGCTTTCCAGGCTGCAGGCCTTGGCAGGAGGGCTGTGGGGAACGGAGGGGGCAAAAGGCAGAGAGAGCTAGGGAGCAGTGCCAAGAGGGTGCCCGGAGAAGCAGCCTATGCCGTCATTCCAGCTGACAGGGCTTACTACCCTCCAGAGGGGTCTGCCAGCCTCAGAGCTTCGGGAAGCCCACTCCTGAAGGAGACCTTTGACCCTGGAGAACTGCCAGCCCCCCACAGAGCTGTGAGCCCAGCTCTTCTAGATGGGTCCTGATGAGGTCCCGACGCTCCCCCGGCTCCGCCCAGCTCTACCCTTTGCCTGCAGTGCCTGGGTGGCCGCGACCTGGGAGCCTCACTTGAGGCCCCGCCTAGTGGGGCATTAACCATTAAGTTATTGCCATCATTTGGGCATCCAGCTTTCGAAGGGCAGGTGGAGGGAAGAGGGACCTGATGGTGCCAGCAGGAACCGGTGCTGAATGGAGCCTCTGAGCATAAACTGGCAGAGGGTGCATCCAACGCCCGCTCACACCCCAGCCTCAAGCTAGGGTCACCCTCTCCTGGGCGCCTGTGCCAGGGCCCCTGTCACACTTCATGGGGCAGAAAGCAAGGACAAAGTCAGGCTGCTCCCTCAAATGAATTAATGATTAATGAGACTCCTGGAGGCCCCGGCTTTTCTTCTGCCCCTTCTTGTTCTAGGTGTCACCTACAGGTTTCCTGAGCCCCGAGAGCCAGACCCCACAAATGCAAGGAAGAGAACTGAGACCCTCGGCTAAGTGGCCAGGCCCGGCTCCTAAGTCACCCTGCCCCCCTCCAGCTCTTTGGAAAGCAGAACTGGGGACTGTGAGGGCCACCGATGGAGCCTGGGTTCACAGTCAAACCTGTGGCTTCAGTTTCACAGAGTCTTAGAGCAAAAATGAGTTTTAGGCTGGGCGAAGTGGCTCATGCCTGTAATCCCAGCACTTTGAGATTCCGAGGCAGGCAGACCACCTGAGGTCGGGAGTTCGAGACCACCCTGACCAACATGGAGAAACCACATCTCTGCTAAAAATACAAAATCAGCCGGGTGTGGCAGCGCATGCCTGTAATCCCAGCTACTTGAGAGGCTGAGGCAGGAGAATCGCTTGAACCTGGGAGGTGGAGGTTGTGGTGAACCAAGATGGTGCCATTGCAGTCCAGCCTGGGCAACAAGAACGAAACTCTGCCTCAAAAAAAAAAAAAACAATGTGCTTTAGTTTGGAGTGGGAGGAAGAGGCAGGGATTGACAGTCTCTGACAGGCACAGACGTTACCCTGGCCTTGGCTGAAGCTGACCTCCTGAAATGCTGAAGTGGCATCTGACACTCCACCATCCCTGTGGGAGCGTCTGTCACCAGCCCTGTCCTCAGCCCCCAGGAGCTCAGGGCTCAGAACACTTCCCGAAGCCCTGAGCTCAGCCCTGCCAGCAGGCCCAGGAGGATGACACCAAGGACCCATCTCCCAAGGGATGATCCCCAGCCTATGACCCTTCCTGCCAAGGCCAAAGTAAATAAGTGAAGACTTGGCCTGCCACACCCTAAGGACCACCACTGGAGGTGACTGACGGCCCCGGTCGCAGCCATCCATCTCCAGGGCTGAAGAACTGAGCCCATGTACCTGTCACAAAACAAACAAGCAAAAAACACATAAGTCCCTCAGAGACAGGCTAGCCTTGGCATGGACCCCAATTCTCACCTGGACTTAAAAGCCATCTTGGGCTGGGCGTGGTGGCTCAAGCCTGTAATCCCGGCACTGTGGGAGGCCGAGGCGGGTGGATCACAAGGTCAAGAGATCGAGACCATCCTGGTCAACATGGTGAAACCCCGTCTCTACTAAAACTACAAAAAATTAGCTGGGCATGGTGGCGCGTGTCTGTAGTCCCAGCTACTCAGGAGGCTGAGGCAGGAGAATTGCCTGAACCCAGGAGGCGGAGGTTGCGGTGAGCCGAGATCGCGCCATTGCACTCCAGCCTGGGTAACAAGAGCGAAACTCTGTCTCTCAAAAAAAAAAAAAAAAAAAAAAGCCATCTTGACCTAGTGGCATCTCTGACCCAAACCTTAACCGCCCCCATCTCCCTCTACGTCCCCCTAGCACTGATGCTCACCTGGACCCCAGCCCCAGTTCCATATCAAATCTGTGTGGTGTCTGCTGCCGCTGATGCTAAGAGCGCTAGTCCCCGGCAAGTCCCCCATCACCCACCTTCCCACACGCAGAAGCCTCTTTGGTGGGACCAAATGGGAGGGAGTCTTACCTCTCTAGGGGCAAGAAGGGCTGGCCCCATGCCCCCCGGGCTCTGAGAGGTGAGTGCAGGAGGGAGAATTGGTGGAGCTGGGTCCTGTCATCAGAACAACACTCACGAGGGGACCTCCTTCACCCTGGGAAGGGGTAGGTTCTTTGCTGTCTCACAGTCGCAGACTGAATCGTTCACTCAGCCTGGCTCACGGTACAGGCATGCACATTGCTGGCTTCAGGGAGGCCAGAAACCAACCTGCTTCTGCAAAAAGAATCCAGGCTGTTCTGAGTGCCTGCTGCAGGCCAGGCAAGTTGGTCACTGTTGCATGAGGAGGGGTTGGGCCTGATGCCAAGCAAGGTGGCTTGTCCCTGTCACATGCAGACGTCCTGGCCATCCCAGTCGCACATGCATGTGAGAGGCTGCGCGCTGCCAGGGTTCCTGTGGGACTGGACCATGCTGCCTCTGCCTGCCTCCTTCCTCTTGTGAATATATGGGGCCAGTTCCCACCCCAAAGCCCCACCCAGGGCCTTCATGTCTCCTCCCCAACAGGCCTACTTCCTGGCTCCTTTTGACCTCATCAAAGTCCGGCTACAAAACCAGACAGAGCCAAGGGCCCAGCCGGGGAGCCCCCAACCCCGGTACCACGGGCCGATGCACTGTGCAGCCTCCATCTTCCAGGAGGAGGGGCCCCGGGGGCTGTTCCGAGGAGCCTGGGCCCTGACACTGAGGGACACCCCCACGTTGGGGATCTACTTCATCACCTATGAAGGGCTCTGCCACCAGTATACACCAGAAGGCCAGAATCCCAGTAAGTAAAGTGGCATGAGAGGATGGGGAATGGGGTGTGGGTAGCAGGCAGGGTCCGGCGGAGGCTGGGGAAGGAGGTTAGGGTCTGGGGAGGATGCTATGTTCTGGTTCTGACCCCTGCTCTGGGCTCCCTCTGCTCCAGGCTCAGCCACGGTGCTGGTGGCAGGGGGCTTTGCAGGCATTGCCTCCTGGGTGACAGCCACGCCCTTAGATGTGATCAAGTCCCGGATGCAGATGGATGGCCTGAGACGCAAAGTGTACCGAGGGGTGCTGGACTGCATGGTGAGCAGTGTCCAGCAGGAAGGACTGGGCGTCTTCTTCCGGGGGCTCACCATCAACAGTGCCCGTGCTTTTCCTGTCAATGCTGTCACCTTTCTCAGCTACGAGTATCTCCTCCGGTGGTGGGGATGAGTTCTGCGGCAATGCCTGCAGCTCCCCATCAGGCCCATGTCCCGGAGGCCAGTTTGAGGTTGGAGGTCAGGCTGAAAGCCTACAGCTTGCAGTTCAGTGCAAGAGGCTCAGCCCTTCCTGATCAAGGCAACTCCCACCTGCCCAGATCTGGGCTGGGCAGATGCCCGCAGGAGCTGGAAGCCAGGGGGCCTGGGCAGCGCTCTGTGTAGCTGGCCTTGACTCATTTCTATCTGTGAAGCAGGGAGCACAAGGCACAAGTGAGCTGGCAGTGGTGCTGGCGACATCCCAGCCCTGACCTGTGCCTTCACCCCTTAAGGAGCTCTGAGACTCCGCTTCTGAGAGGCCCTGCTGCCTCCTACCACCCTGCCTTTCAAAGCTCTCTCCCCCACAACCCAGAATAACCCTATGTCTCCCCCAAGAATCCTTCAGTGGCTCCCATCACCTTCAGGAAAAGCCCAAGTCCCTTCCTCCTTCCCGGTTCCTCCCTCCCCACGAGGCTGGGGTTGCTTCCTGGACCCTGAACAAGCTGTGCTCTCATTGTCTGGGCCTGGCTAGCAGTGCACAGTGGCTGGCAGGGTGACTCCATCATCCCCCGGGCTGGCCCTGCTCTCCTATGAGACCCAGGCTGAGCTGGGCCTCCTGACCATTCCTTGACTCGCTTCCTGACCTGAGGCTGACTTTGGGGTTCTAGACACCCCACCCCACACGTGCCATGATCACAGCACTTGCCTGCCCTTCTTCAGAGTCATTGATTTGCTTCTCGGCTTCCCCACTGGACTGTGAGCTCCATGAGGTCAGGGACTGCGCTTTGGAGCCCAGTGCTTGAACAGACGTGTGAAATAAATGCTGGTTAAATGATGTGACTGCACTCTTGACCTGTCTCTCCCACGCCAGCCGCCACACCTGCTTCCTTGGTCTTGCCACATACCTTTCTGCTGAACCTCCCAGCCCCCATGTGCCTGCTCTGACCCGTCTCGAAGTCACCGGCAGTGGAGGGTGCTGGAAGCTGGGGGTCTGCTTTGCCCACTCCCAGCCAATGGCATTTGTTTTCTTTTTCTTTATTTATTTTTTTCTCTTTTGAGAGACAGAGTCTCACTCTGTTGCCTCGGCTGGAGTGCAGTGGTGCTACCATAGCTCACTGAATTCCTGGGCTCAAGCGATCGTCCCACCCTAGTCTTCCAAGTAGTTGGGACTACAGGTGTGCACCACCACGCCTGGCTAATTTTTTATTTTTTTGTAGAGAGGAGGTCTCACTATCTTGCCCAGCCTGTTTTGAACTCCTGAGCTCAGAATCCTCCCACCCTGGCCTCCCAAAGAGCTGGGGTTACAGGTGTGAGCACCGTTGTTTTCTTTACCCATCTCAGTTGCTCGGTGGGAATTAAAACCTGGCTGAGGCTGGGTGTGGTGGCTCACGCCTGTAATCCCAGATCTTTGGGAGGCTGAGGTGGGTGGATCACAAGGTCAGGAGTTCAAGACCAGCCTGGCCAACATAGTGAAACCCTGTCTCTACTAAAAATATAAAAATTAGCCAGGCGTGGTGGTGGGTGCCAGTAGTCCCAGCTACTTGGGAGGCTGAGGCAGGAGAATCGCTGGAACCTGGAGGTGGAAGATGCGGTGAGCCTAGACTGGGCCACTGCACTCCAGCCTGGGAGACACAGTGAGACTCTGTCTCAAAAACAAAAACAAAAAAACAAAAACCTGGTTGAGAGGGCTCTTTTAACTGACAACAAAATTGAGCATCACCGGCCATTTGTTCCCACTAATGTCCCTATCTGGTCTGAGATCAACCTGAGTCCACCTCATGGTGACCTGAATTCCTGCCATTTACTGGGGCCTCCCTGTAGAAACAGTCACAGTGTTATGATCACAGTTGCCAGAGAGGCAGCCTCAGCTCAGAGACATTATGTAACTTGTCCTAGGTCACACTGCGGGTAAGTCATATGATTTGCTTGGATGCCTCTGAGCTTCCAGCCCCAGTGTCCAGTTACTTAGCTACCCCGTTCCACTGGGGCACATGGCGGCCTCCCATGAGTTACCTATGTTCACACCCTCCTGCACCACCCTGGGCTAGACCTGCCAGGACGTGCTCTGTCACGTGCTCGTCAGAGCTCTCTTTCATTGGGTCACATGCTGCAGATGGCTGAAGGCCACTCCAAAGCCTTTTCCCCATCCCCCCCGTCATCAGAGTATGCAGCTGGGTGTGTGGCCACTGCACAGGACTACATTTCCCAGCCTCCTTTGCAGCCAGGCAGAGTCTAACCCTGGTTAGGTTCTCACTGGAGAAATATCAGCAACTGGGATGAGTTGCCCATCACTTGTTTCAAAGGAAAATACTCACTGTGGGCTGGAAGTGGTGGCATCTGGGGCACCCTGGAAGGCACTGAGAGGATGCAGAAGGTGCCCTGTTGGCCTGGCACCTAGGTGACCTTGGGGAGCACAGCCCACCCCTCTGCCCTGGGCTGTTGTGTTGTGTTGCACTCCTTGTCACAATGGTTTATTATTTATTTATTATTTTTATTTTTTGAGATGGAGTCTCTTGCTCCATCACCCAGGCTGGAGTGCAATGGCGCGATCTCAGCTCACTGCAACCTCCGCCTCCTGGGTTCAAACAATTCTCCCGCCTCAGCCTCCCGAGTAGCTGGGACTACAGGTGAGCGCCACCATGCCTAGCTAATTTTTGTACTTTTAGTTGAGACGGGGTTTCAGCATGTTGGCCAGGCTGCTCTCCATCTCCTGACCTCAGGATATGCCTGCCTCAGCCTCCCAAAGTGTCGGGATTACAGGCCTGAGCCACTGTGCCAGACTATTTATTTTTTGGAGACAAGGTCTCACTCTGTCTCCCAGGCTGGAGTGCAGTGATGCAGTCTCAGCTCACTGCAACCTCCGTCCCCTGGGTTCAAGCAATTCCCGCCTCAACCTCCCACGTAGCTGGGATTACAGGTGCACACCACCATGCCTGGCTAATTTTTGTATTTTTAGTAGAGACAGAGTTTCACCAGTTGGCCAGGGTGATCTTGAACTCCTGGCCGCATGTGATCCACCCACCTCAGCCTCCCAAAGTGCTGGGATTACAGTCTTGAGCCACTGCACCTGGCTTTTGTTGAAACAGTTTAGCAAGCTTCACACTAACTCAGTGGGTAAGGGGCTGCAAGCTTACAGGTCAGTGGTAATCCAAGTGTGGTCTGTGGAGCAAAGCTTGTTAGAAATGCAGCATCTGGCTGGGAGCATTGGCTTACACCTGTAATCCTGGCACTCTGGGAGGCTGAGGCAGGAGGACCACTTGAGGCTAAGAGTTCAAGACCAACCTAGGCAACATAGTGAAACCTTGTATTTACCAAAATTTAAAAATTAGCCAGGTGTGGTGGTGTGTGCCTATAGTCAGAGCTACTTGGGAGACTGAGGTGGGAGGATTGTTTGAACCTGGGAGGTTGAGGCTGCAGTGAGTCTTGATTGCACCACTGCACTCCAGCCTGGGTGATAGAGCAAGACTCCGTCTCAAGTCATAATAATAATAGTAATTTTAAAAAAGATATGCAGTATCTCAGGCCCCACCCTGACCTGCCAAATCAGAATCTCTGAGGATGGGGTCCCGGAATCTGTGTTGTGTAAAGCTCTCCAAGGGATTTCTTTTTTATTTTATTTTTTTTTGAGACGGAGTTTCACTCTTGTTACCCAGGCTGGAGTACAATGGCGCGATCTCGGCTCACCGCAACCTCCACCTCCTGGGTTCAGGCAATTCTCCTGCCTCAGCTTCCTGAGTAGCTGGGATTACAGGCACGTGCCACCATGCCCAGCTAATGTTTTTGTATTTTTAGTAGAGACGGGGTTTCACCATGTTGACCAGGATGGTCTCGATCTCTTGACCTCGTGATCCACCCGCCTCGGCCTCCCAAAGTGCTGGGATTACAGGCTTGAGCCACTGTGCCCGGCTCCCCAAGGGATTTCTACACGTGCTAAAGTTTAAGAATCGGTATTCTGGGTGTGGCTGATAGTGGGAAAGTGCTGCCCTTTCAGGCTGAGAAAAGTGTATGGTGGCTCAACTGAGGTCAGGAGTTTGAGAGCAGCCTGGCCAATATGGTGAAACCCCATCTTTACTAAAAATGCAAAAATTAGTCGTGCGTGGTGGCGTACACCTGTAATCCCAGCTACTAAGGAGGCCGAGGCAGGAGAATAGCTTGAACCTGGGCGGCAGAGGTTGCGGTGAGCCAAGATCACGCCACTGCACTCTAGCCTGGGTGATAGAGCGAGACTCTGTCTCAAACGAAACAAAACAAAACAAAATCTGGATGTTTTTAATCAGCAGGGTCCCATAGGATGCATGTGAAATTGCTTAAGGATTTAACAGATGGTATTTGAGGTTGCTGTTATTTTTGAGAAGTCTTTTAGACAGAAGAAACCCCCTAAGAACTAGGAGATAGTCTGTGAACCTGCTTGGAGGTTACAAAGCGGGTGGTGTCTGACGGTCACTTGCAAAGAGCTGATAACTCGAGCGAGCATGTTAAACAAGTCCCATTGGACTCTTGTTGTCCAGCCGTCATGCTGCTTTTTATAGCACTGACCACATCTGAAGGAATTCCAGGAGACTAACTTATGTGTATAGTGACACTCCCTGTGGCTTTCCCCGCTGCACTCCAGCCTGGAGAAAGCTACATGAGCAGGGAAAGGGGGAAATGACCCAACATGAGATGACTCTGGCTAAAATAACTTGTACCAGACTCAGGAAACAGCTGAACCAAGGGGTTCACGCCGTGAATGTGACTTAATTGGTGTCTCCAGCCTGCTCAGGCTCCTGAGTGCCAGGACCACACTGCTGTCTCTGATCACGGATCTTCCAGTTCCCCCAGCCTGCCCAGGGAACAGACATGCCCTGAGCTCCCAGCCCGGGCCAATGCCTGAGAGAAGCTCTCCCTCTTCCTCCTTCCGATGCCAAAGGAGTCCCTAACTCCTCTTAACCTTTTGAAAGGTTTCTACTCCTCCCCATTTTTTTAGAGATGGGGTCTCATGCTAGGCGAGGTATCTTATACCTGTAATCCCAGCCCTTTGGGAGGCTGAGGCGGGAGGATCACTTGAGGACAGGAGATTGAGACCAGCTTGGGCAACATGGAGAAACCCCATCCCTACTAAAAACAAAACAAAACAAAAAACAAAATTAGCCGGGCATGGTGGTTCATGCCTGGCATCCCAGCTACTCCGGAGGCTGAGGCAGGAGAATCACTTGAACATGGACACAGGTTGCGGTGAGCCGAGATCGCGCCACTGCACTCCAGCCTGGGCAACAAGAGCAAAACTCCGTCTTAAAGGAAAAAAAAAAAAGAGATGGGGTCTCACTATGCTGCCTAGGCTGGTCTTGAATTCCTGGGCTCAAGTGATCCTCCTGTCTCAGTTTCCCAAAGTGCTGGGGTTACAGGCGTGAGCCACCATGTCTGGCCTCCACTCCATCTTTATCAATCCTAATAGCACAGCCCTGGTCCTGTCTCAGATCTGAACATACTTTAACTTTTGGCGGTGCAGTTCTCCCCAAGTCTCACTGCTCCTCGATGGCTTCCCATTCCTCTGCAGAACCAGGGCAAGCTCCCTCCCACAGCCTGCATGGCTTGCAAGTGTTCACCTTCTCTTGGTTCCTTAAGCACAGCGGGCTCCCTCCCACCGCAAGACATTAGCACACACCCTTCTTCCTCCTCCTCCTCTTCCTGCTCTTCCTCCTCCTCCTTTTCTTCTTCTTCCTTTTCCTCTTTCTCTTCTTCCTCTTCTCCCTCTCCTTTTCTTCTTCTTCTTTCGAGACAGTCTTGCTTTGTTGCTGAGGCTGTAGTGCAGCGGCATGAGCACAGCTCACTACAGCTTCGACCTCCCAGGCTCAAGC